GGGGACCTACGTTGGCCCTTGCACGCCCTGGCTGCCCGGGAAGACAAGGCCGCCCGGGCGGCCCGGCTGATAGCCCAGCATATCATCCTTTTTCTAGCTTTTTTTGTGATGTTCAGTGAATCTCCAACTTATGGATATGGTTGCCATTCTCCTTCTTCCTTGTCCTTCCTGAGGAACACCATTCTCCCCTCTCCTCTGTCAGCTCACCAACCCCCTCCTGTTGTCAATCGTTTTGTTCTGCCAGTTAACGATAGGAAGAAGTGTTGTAGATGCCGAGGATGATTCTCACGCCCGGCCGGGCACCCGGGCGTGGGGAAAAAAAAAAAAAAAAAAAAAAAGGCTGTTTCTGCGCTCTTCCAGAGAAACCCAAATCTGGGCTAGTCTTTTTTTTTGCGAGTTGGCTGGGGGATAAACTGGTTTTAAAGGGGCCTAGGGGGTTTAATGGGGGGTGCCCTAGTGTGATTCTGTGAACTTCTGTTTCATCTCCGATTTTGTGAGGAATTCTAATGCGACCCTTAGCCAAAAGTCGTTTGTATTGCAACTCTGCACAACATTTTTTTTTCCCGGAATTTTTCGATTTATTTTTTTTTGTTTTTGTTTCTGCGCTGGGGCTGCGGGGAAGTCTCCCCGGGGGTCATGCCTGCATGGGCACCCCCGGAAAAATAGCCTAGGTAGACGCGGCCTTCGGGACATCCGTTAAAATCGGAACAATATAGACAAGATTAGCATGGCCCCTGTGCAAGGATGACACGAAAAAATAAAAAGAAAAAAGAAGTGTTGTAGGGGTTCGACATTTCAAATACTGATGTAATAACAAATGTATTGGTGAACATGGAACTGTGTGTGTTCAGTTTGTTCATATCGGTGCAGTTTGCTGAAGTCGGTAGGGGAAAGAACAGCATTCTGGATTTAGTGTGCCCAGCCCTGCGCTAGACACTCAAAATGTTCTACCCTCTCTGTTCCTCTCTCTCTTTGTGGAGTACCATGGTTTTCAAATCTCCATTTAGCTACACTCCTCAATGAAGGTAGGCATTTCCTACACAAGCAGTGCAGTAAAAGTTGATGCCAAAACAATCACCACAGATCGTGAGAAAGCTTGTTTTATTCCTCTCTTCTTGTTTTGTTTCTAACTCCACATAGTTCATGTTCACGGGCTTTGCTCTCTCTCTCTCTCTCATTCTCTCTCTCTCTCTCTCTCTCTCTCTCTCTCTCTCTCTCTC